TGGGAACTTCAGTCACAGCTCGAACACAGGAAGACTGGCCACTAGAAGCCACAGCCTGCAGCAGCTCAGAATGAGGTCAAGAGCAAAGATAAGAAGCCTTTAGAAAGAAAGCTATATGTGATTTACAATTACAAACTGCCTCGACTTGATTTGAATAAAGAATGCTTCGATAAATATAGAATCGCTGAGTTGATTTTCACTGTCTTTGCACGGAGCTGCACATTGTAGCCATTTGGTAAAGTGACATAGACACCTTTTGTCACCTCAACTGCTGCAGCAGAAACTGCAGAAGCACCCCTGCTTCATCTATGACTAATCTGCAGACAGTGGGTGATTAAATACTGAACAGAAAAAGGCATGCATGATAACACAACCATAATATTTTCTGTCCCCTGACTAACAAATTTGCAGATGCATTTCCTCTGAAGGATGCACAAATTTTTATTTTTCAACCAAAAGATTTGTATTTGATCAACAATTAAACAATGTGTGCGCCAAATGTTTGTTTTTTTTAATTTAAAAGTTACTCTAATATATCAAGTTCGTTGTAGAAAACAGGTCACATCTCCCCGCCTCAGTGTGACTCTTCTTCTTGTGTCGGCTTGTGGTGGTCGATTTAAAAATGAATAAATAAAAGAGAACTATATACTTTGGTAGAGTTTGGTCATGTTCCTGTTTAAGACCCTGTGCTCTCTTTGCAGTGGTATGTTGGTGGTTTTAAGCAGGATGTCCTCCTTTTGTTGCAGAGTACCTGAGTTACTCATCTCTGAGACTGTCAATAAACACAGGAACCTGTTTGTGAGATCAAAATGCATGTTTAGAAGCATAAGAGATGCTTCACAATGTTACTCTGTTTAAATGCAAACAGCTTGTGAGAAGACAACAACAGAGCTGTTATGCAGCCCTGTGGTTAGAGAAAGTTTATGATAAATGGAGTTGAGCTTGTTTTGTGCGTTTCTAGTCTTCTGACTACTCAAAGCACTTTTTTTTTTTAGTTTAGATAGTTTAGATGTTTATTGCCATTTGTACAGGACAGTACAGGTACATTGGAATTCTTGTGCATTTCTCCCTGAGTCAGCTTCTACAAAAAAGTTAAAATTATATATAAAATAGACTAGCATTGTAAGAAAAAAAGCGATTACAAAAAAGTAAAAATAAGTAAGTTGTATTAACAGCTAAGCAAATTAAAATAAACTGTACAGAAGTTATACACTGTATTAAAGCAAAGATATAATACAAATTAAAAATAACAAGGGGAACACTGTACAATGAAATGAAAATATAAATATGTTTTCTTATTGCACTTATTATCTCTTATTGCACCTGAGATTATTGCACACATATTTTTCACATTATATAATTGCACTGTTTTTTGTTTTTAAGGTTAATATTGAACACTTGTATTGCACTGTGAGGTGGTCAGCTGTCCATTTAGTCTGTGAGGTGTGGGGTGAGGTACTTCCTTCCCATCTTAATGTCCTGTGCTACAAGTCTCACAGCAGCAGGGAAAAAGCTGTTGTGGTAGCGGGCCTTGTGGGTGGAGATGCTCTCTGGCCTGTGATGTCGCAAGTTATAGCCCGAGTTCTTCCACCTGAACAGAGCATGAGCTGGGTGCTGTTTGTCCTTGAGGATGCTCTGTGCTTTTCCCCTGCTGTGTGTGTCCATGTGTCCATGTGTGTGTCCATGGAGGGGAGGTTGGAGCCAGTGATTCTCTCTGCAGTCTTTATGACCTGTTGAAGCGATTTCCTCTCAGACAGTGTGGTGTTTCCGAACCACACAGTGATTCCACTGGTGAGGATGCTTTCAACGAGTCCTCTGTAGGCCTGGGTGAGGAGCTGACGTTTAAGTCCAGTCTTCTTCAGCAGCCTGATAAAGTAGAGCCGCTGCTGTGCTTTCTTCACTGTTTTAGAAGTGTTTTGGGCCCAGCTCAGGTTTTCCGCGATGTGAAGACCAAGGAACTTGTAGCTGTCAGCCCGCTCTACCACAGTCCCCTTGATGGTGAGAGGCTGCAGAGGGGGGGGGGGGCTTTCCTCCTGAAGTCCAGAATGAACTCCTTTGTCTTGTCTATGTTCAAAACTAAGTCGTTGTCCTCTCCATAGACAGTGACTTTGTGGACCAGCTCCCTGTAAGGGGACTCATCCCTCCATCTGATGAGGCCAAGGATGGTCGTGTAGTCTGCATATTTAATGATGATGCTGTTATTGTCCTGGGGGGAGACGCAGTCATATGTGTACAGTGAGAAAAGTTTTGGGCTGAGGCAGCAGTTCTGGGGGGTTCCTGTGCTGACTGTGAGCTCAGCAGAGACCTTTGTTCCCATCCTCACCACCTGTGGTCTGTCTAGAAGGAAGTCCAGGATCCAGTTGCAGGTAGGTGTCAGTACTCCAAGGTCTGCCAGCTTCCCAATCAGCTTCATTGGCCAAATGGTGTTAAAGGCGGAGCTGTAATCCAAAAAGAGGAGTGGAGTGCCAGGGCCACCGATCTGTTGGTGCGGTAAGCAAACTGTAGGGGGTCTACAGTGTCTGGAATCACAGAGTTGATGGAGTGTAGGACCAGCTTCTCCAGGCACTTCATGGCCACCGGCGTGAGTGCCACTGGCCTGAAGTCATTCATTGTGGTTGTATGTGGTTTCTTAGGGACTGGAACTATGACAGATGATTTAAAGGTGCGTGGGACGGTTTCCTGCATGAGAAGGTCTTGATGATGTCTGTGTACACCTCTGCCAATTGTTCAGCACAGGCTTTTAGGACTCTTGGTGCCACCCCATCAGGGCCAGCAGCCTTGTGGGGGTTCACCTTCTTCAGAGCCCGAAGGACCTGTGTCTGTGTTACTTGTAGTGCGGTCTCCTCTGGGTTATGGGGGGACTTTGTAGGGGTGTCGCTGTTCTGTCTGTCGAATCTGCCATAGAAACTGTTCAGTGTGTCTGGTAGGGTGGAGTCACAAACTTCGACTCTGTTTGTGTTACTTCTGTAGTTGGAGATGGACTGTATTCCCTGCCACATACTCTTCGTGTCCATGTAGCAGCTTTCAAGTTTTTGGGAGTATGTTCTTTTGGCAGCTCTGATGGACTAGAGTAGCTCGTACCGAGCATGCTTGTACTCCACGGTGTCCCCTGACTTGAAAGCTGCACACCGGCTCCTGATCTTCATGCGTATATCTGCATTGAACCAGGGCTTTTGATTAGGAAACACATGAATGGTCCGGGAGGGAATACAAACAGAGGTGCACCAATCTATATAGCTGCTTCCGATGTCCGTGTACTCATCAATGTTTGTTGTGGCTTCCTTAAAAATATTCATGTCTGTGGCCTCTAAGCAGCCCTGCAGTTCTGCCAGTACAGTGTCAGTCCACATCTTCACAGTTCTGACTGTGACTGGGTTTGCTTTCAGCTTTGTGGTGTAAGTAGGCTGTAGCAAGACTGCTAGGTGGTCAGACTTTCCTAAGTGAGGTTTGGGGACAGCAGCATAAGTATTTTTGATGTTACTGTAGCAGTGATCCAATGTGTTGTTACCCCTGGTGGGGAAGTTAATGAACTGGTGGAGTTTGTGGATACTTTCCCAGAGGTTACAGTGATTTAAAATCCCCTGAGATAATAAAAGCAGCATCTGGGTATGAGTTCTCATTTCTAGAGATCATGTCGTGCAGTTCTTTGAGTGCGTTATCCTCGTTAGCAGAGGGGGGGGATTTACACTGTACTCAATATAATGCACTGCAGTTCTCTAGGTAGGTAAAATGGTCTGCACTCCACGTCTTCAGTACACAACTGCGATATTACCGTGTTGTTGGTGCTCCAGGACTTTTTGACAAGAATCGCTGTCCCTCCCCTGCGGGTCTTGCCGCAGTACGCTGTCTTGCGGTCGGCTCTGAAGAGCGTGTAGCCTGCCGGTGTTATGGCTTCATCGGGAGTCCTGTCTCTGAGCCACGTTTCACAGAAACACAGCACAGAGCAGTCCTGAATGTACCTCTGTGTAGCCATCCTACTGAGAAGGTCGTCCACTTTATTTCCAAGCGACTGGACGTTGACAAGAAGTATAGCCGGGAGGGTTAGCCTACCCTTGCTAACCAGGTGTCGAAGTCTTTGCTCAGCGCCTCCCCGCCTGCCTCGCCTCCGTGTCGGTCTCGGGGTGCCAAGCAAACCCCCGGCTGCGGCCTGGCCCTGCGTTGTTCCAGCAGCTCCGGGAAGGAGTCAAGCAGTTTGGCGTTAAAATGTCCTTTGTGACTCATCTCACCAAGCTGTATCAGTGTCGCCCGATCATATTTAACACTGGCCCTAATGTATCGCACATTAAACGAAAGAAAAGAAAACAATACCACGAAAACTACAAAAAATTTGACTCGGAGACCTACGCTATGTCGCCCACAGGGGAGCGCCATCTTGGATTTACAGGATTTTACACCACAGGTCACACCTCCACATTCACACACTGATGGTAGAGGCTGCTATGTAAAGTGTCCATCAGTATTAGCTAATCCCACTCATACACATATATATGCCACCGATGAAGCGGAGGGATTGAACCCCCGACCTTCCTTTTGAGAGACGACCAACTCCTCTAACTGATCGTTGGGGTTATGCAGAGCTCATACAGGCATTAATTACTGTATGTTGGGGTTTTATGTCGTCAATTTGACGTGATTATTAATAGATTTGAGGTATTCTCAGTTCCTGAAATAATTTTTTTGGATGGGGATTTTGCCAAACGTATCTAATGGAAGCCCTAAATATGTACAAATTTAACTTATCACAAAAAAAACACCATTTCTATCTTGGAATAACAAGAATTGGTCAAGATATTCAGTTTTAAACCAGATTTTTTTATCAAGGGGAATATGTGTAAATAAAAAAATCTGTATTTTTATAATAATAACTTTATTTATATAGCACCTTTTAAAAACACAGGTTTACAAAGTGCTTTGACAAACAGCAAAGACAAGAACAAAGTAAACTAAACCAAACAGAAGAACATAAACAACAGCAAGAATGAACCAAATACAAAATACTAAAAATAATAAAAGACAATCCAACAGAAAAGAACCCATATAGCAAGATACCCAACAGACATATATAACCCGACCATTACAAGAAGCCAAGCAGGACAAGAACCCAACAGCTGTTCATATATAAATGAGACTGACAGTAGCTTTGTTAGTTTTATTCAGTAAAGTGTAATATACAAAACAGAAAGCGTGTCTAATATTTGGTTTAGCTATTGTGATAATCTGTAATGTAATGGAGAGTCTATTAGGTCAAAGTTTTGAACTGAGAGGCAAACCATCGATCATTTGGGACTTTTTCTGCTCTTCTTGAGGTAAACCAAGAGACAAATCGTTGCAAAAAACAAGAGGATCCCAATCCTAGTAATGGAGAGATAGACCAAGATTCTCATCTGGGCCATCTGCTCCTCAGCATCATCTTTGACGAGCAGCTTGCTCCCATCGCCGAAAAGTATTTCCCCGCAGGAGGCCACAGCGCAGTAGTAAGTCCCAGCATCAGACGAGCTCACGTTCACCTTCTGCAGATGGTAGACGCAGCTCTGTGGAGGGGAACCCTGTGCAGAGACTTGTTTACACCTGTTGCTCTGTCTGTGAAGTACTCCATTGTGAGATCCCTTTCTGAACCAGTAAACACTGAGTTCTCCATCACAGGTCCCAGTGTGGACTGTGCAGTTCAGAGTCACAGAGCCTCCTGGCTGGATGGTCTCAGATACCGGCCCCTGGTCTATTTCTTTAATGCTGGCTCCTATAATCCACAGAGGGGGTAAAAAAACAAACAAAGAATCAGTCAAATAAAAAAACACTTTTCCTGTATTTACAATAATGAGTGTATTAGATTCGTTCGATGAGACTTACCACATACCAGTATAAAACGACTTCATAACCCTTACTGCAGCCGCCAGCATCAACATGTCACATGACGCTATTGAAAATTCACCCCCACTCATTGAGTATTGCAAAGGTCTGCTGAACAATGTGATAGGATTCAAAGCGACTTGGATATGGCTCGTGGCATCACTTTTTTTATTTGACATCTTTTCTCCCTCATTAGGTCATAATGGTGCATTTAAAACGGTGGCATCCTGTTAAGTTGACGAACTTTAAGGATTGAAAATGACTTCTCAGTTTAAGAGAAGTGACATGAGGATGTGGGCAGTGTACGCCTTTTTTTTCCCCCTGAGAAAAGACTTCGTCCTTTATATCTGTGTGACTTACATTCTTGATTTACAGTTATTTTAAGAGGCATAAATGGCATTTAAAGCTTCTCATGATGATTTTTTTTTGGTTTTGAAACAGAGTTTTATTTATATTTATGTCTCTGTAAAACCTTGCAAAAGCAAACTAGCCCATAAGCAATGAGATCAATTATTTATATTTAGTTTATTACTTGTTTTTAATGGCTGATAGGTCAGACAAAGCAATAAACAGCACAATGCTGAAACAGTTTTTTACATTTTCCACCACAAGCATTTAAGATGATTTATATGTTTGACTGTCTAAAATTAGCAATCGTATGCGTGTACTGGACAAGATCAGAAAAAATGTAAAGCGTACTAGTTTGGCCACAGGGGGTGTCAAATTCAAAACAAATTTAACCAGGTTCATAGTTAGCTTTAAATGTGTCATTTCTGCTATATTTTGGTTTTTAAATTTGTTGTCATAGAATTTTATATATGGGCCCTAATTCTTCATCTAGTTGTTTCTTTGGGAAAATAAATGAAAACAAGTAAATATGCACATTTATAAAGAGCCTGAAGAAAGTGTAGGCACCTTGACTGGTCGTAGACTACAGACACTGATTTTTGGGAGCCTTTGGTAAATATTTGATGTTCATTATCAGGCACTTTGACATACAGATTAGAGGAGCCAGTATTTTGCCTATTAAAACTAGTTATTGCCTAATTACTAGTTTTTACATGATATTTAAGATCTTACAAACTAATTGGCAAGAAAAGTGGCAATTATGCATGTGCAGGGCAATAAAGAAACGAGCAGATCTTTGCTCACCTCTGTAATATAGCTACAGTCAAAAATCGAAAACAAAGACAAGCACTGTACCTTTAACACTTAGGAAGACCCCATCTCCAAATTCCACTATGTTGGAGTGTGAGCTTCCACAGAAGTATGAGGCCGAATCTGAGAGTTGGACGTCAGTGATGTGTAAATGATTGGCCGACTCCGTCCTCTTCAGAGAGAAACGAGGGTTCTTCTCCATCCAGGGGAAGACTTTGGAGGGCTTATCATACTTATAAATAGTAGACATGAGCTCAGGTCCACGTCCTGGGGTTTGTCGGTACCAGGAGAAGTGCACCGACACCTGGCTGTCATAGAAGCATTTTAAAGTCACGTTCTCTCCAACAGTGGCGGATACAACCCCAGTGTCCTGTTGGATTGCTGGCAAACAGTCGACAGCTGACAGGTGAACTAGATAAAAAAACACGAAGAAATTAGCTCACATTTTATTTTAGGCGTTAAATCATATGATACATTGGCTGAATCTTACATGAAGAGACTTACATACTCCACAGAGGATCATATACAGATGCATCGTCCGAGACTTTGAAAGCACTGACAGTCTTGAGCCAAGAAGCGTGCAGCTAAAAAAAATGGTGTTACATTTGATTGGTGCCAAACCAAAGTAGGCCAAACCAAATGACCTTTTAAACAACCGCCGACTCAGCAGAACATGAATTCACAGTAAAAAAAAAAAAATATGGTTATTGTATGCTGCCATTCTACCAACTATAGCACAGCACAAAATAATGATTACGTTTCTGTACTGGCTGATTTTTTTTTTTTGTCATTTGAGGTTAAGTCAGCGATGTTTACTAAAATAAGGACATTTTAAATGTTTCTCCAAGCAGGTTAATCAGCTGCTACTGACCAGTTGAATGAATTCCAGGCATGTTTGAAGTTTTGGTCGTACTACCGGACATACAGTGAGAGCAGCACATAGTGATGATTCTAGAGACGTTGGGGCCCTAGGCAAAAATCTATTTGGGGCCCTCCAACTGGCGTTCATCACCATCATGTCCCCCAGTGTCCCAATGCTTACTACTCTTCCTCTTTTTTTCCTGATAATTCCTCTTAATTAAAGTTTGTCAGCCTTTGGGGCCCCCTACTGATCTGAGGCCCCAAGCAGTTGCCTGCCTTGCCTGTTGACAAGCAGTGCCTCTGAGAGCACAGCCAAGAGTTAAATCCCCAACTTCAGGGGGTTTTTTTTGTCCTGATTACACCTGTGCAAACTAGCAGAAAGTGTCTGAAATCACCATGGCAACAGCAAACAAGCCTTTTAGATCATTTTTAGATCAAACAAGCCTCATTTAGATTCTGATAGTCGTGCCTGATGATCAGATCATACAGTGTGAGCATGTAAATCTTGAGCTTTGGTCATGTGTTGTAAACGATTCAACCGTACAGGGTGAGCTGACAATCCACCATGACTTTAACACATCTGTTCAGTTTACAATGCGCTGGAGATGAGTTTGATATTAATATCAATATTAATTAATATTATCAGTTCCCTCGTGCCAAACTCAAAATGAAACACGCCCAAGGTCTAGTCAAGTCATGTGACCACTCATAGCACTCTTACACTGCATGTCATATTCACCCTTTCACATGCACATTCGTAGACTGACAGCCATTAGGATAATACAATGAATGTTTATGTTACCATGACGACTGTATTTGGTATTGAACAACAATCAATTTAGTGTGGCTAACGATGCTTTTACAACTAAAGAAGTTACAATAATATTCATTTTTTAAGAGTCTTGTGGTTTTCTGTGAAGGAAGAGATAGTTTTATTCTTTGAGAGTGTTTGGTCATATGTTTGTTTTTGACTCTGTGCTCTCTTTGTGGTGGTATGTGGGTGGTTTTGAGCAGGATGTCCTTATTTTGCTAAAAGGAACGTGTGTAACTCTAACTCTGAGGCTGTCAATAAACACAGGACGGGTTCTACCACTGAGCCACAGCTGCCCCCAAATACCAATCCTCATAAATATCACATTGGAAAGCATCTATGTGATTATAATATCAAGCTCCAAACTTCAGTAAAATCATACACACTGTAAGATATTCAACCCTACACTTCAAACAGACACGCAGTCATTTACAAAAAGATAAAGATCTGTACTGCCCCCTAGAGGGTGTAGTATTTGTTCATCATAAACTGTGATTCTGCCTTCTCTGTTGTTATATGGTTACAGCATAACACAGTGATTTTGTTGATTACAGATTAAGATCTTGTAGGATCAACTCCACTATGCATTAAGTCCTTATGTATAAAGGGAGAGAATGGCTGTGTGAACAGTCAATACAGCTACCTCTGAGTAAAATCACAGCACCAGGACATTAATATTCTGACTTAACAGGGTTCGATGTAAAAGTACAAAAGCAGAGAGGTGGTGGAGCATCGTCATAATCTCAGTTTAAAATATCTAGAAAGGGCTTATGATACGTGATGGTCATCAAATTGGAGAATGGATGACCACTTAGTCTGAATCTCATTTAGTGTAGTGCTAAAGTTTTTGCAGAGGCAAGTTTCTTTCTCTATTGCTCTCCGTTTCTGTCTTTTTTTCTATTTGTTGAGGTATTTGTTGACGTATGAGTGAAGCATCTTGTGTGTGTGCAGTTTGAGACCCTATGTCTCCTCCCCCTCTGTCATTTTCCATTGTGGTAAAATTAGTTTCAGTCGATGTGAAAACAAGAAGAAGACTGGCCTTGAGCTCTCTGCACAAGACCACAACCTATCACACTAAAAATAACATCCACTTCCCTTTCTGGAAGCCTTGTGTTGCCTCTTGCATGCACAGGCAGGTGCATGCAACTTTGCTATATTTTATAACCGGAACAAGGTGGCTAAACTTTCATTGCAAGTATGAGACCAACACTTAAATTGCCTCCACACCCAGCATCCACATTGTGTAAGCAGTGAGTGTAATGCATCCATCTGTGGGCATGTTGGTCCTTAAATGAGGTGAGGGTAGAGTAATCAGAAACTGAAAAGACAAGATAAGGTGAAAATCAGGAACATCAGGCCATACTTCAAGTTCAAACATTAGCTGACGTTAGGCAAATTTTTGTTTCATTTACGTATGACAATAGATAAGGATGTTTATAATGATATAGTAGTGCCTACTTATATACTCCTACGTGTCCTTTACATTGGGGAGGGTGGATGTTAAAGGGATACTTCACCCATTTGCATTAAGCTTTGTATCATTAGAAACCTGGTAGTATTTTTGAATGATGGTGCATCCCGCCCTCAATTTCCCCTGAGATGGGAAGTCTTTGTTTTTTTTAAGTCTGAAAAGGAGCTTCAATCGGAAGCTGTTGTGATTAGCGGGGTGAAACTACAACGCTAGTTCCTCTACAGCTACAGACTTATGACAGATCAGTGCGGGGAACTCACTCCCAGAATCAAAACTTAACGTCCACCATATTGCTTGGAAGCTATGCTAACAGGCTATATGGAGAAAGCTGATAATGGCGAAAAAATATAAATATAGCGGCGAGACGGCTGCCGACAGGCAGGTCTTGTGTCTTGGCTGCTGAGTTGGCAGTTGCCGGCGGCGGCCACTGCCAACTCAGCAGCCGAGACACAAGGCCTGCCTGTCGGCGGCAGTGAGGACGAGGTGCTGGAACGGACTGGTAGTGTCAGTGCTCTCACTGTTTGTCTATGGACACAGACATAGAGTCTGTTTTCTGACAGGAATTTCCAAGATGCAAATTCCTTCTGGAAGAGATCTCAGAATCAGTTGTGTAAACGGCCGTATGTGTTGAAGTAAACATGTCTGTAAACCTGACCTTAGTGGGAGTGGCCTGCGGTGCTGTGCATTCTGGGATTTGGTGTCTTTCATCCACATGAGCCAAAAAGACACTTTTTGCCTTTTCTCGGCCAAGAAGGCACCAACTTCAAAATGTATTTCACATTTCTACTACATATATGACCCAATGTCAATACAGATTCATGTTTCAACGGGGGAAGTATCCCTTTAAAAAATGTAGAGTTGACGGACCTTGCTGTCATGTAACTGACATTTGGTTCCTGTCCGATCTCTGCCCAGCTGTTCTGTTGTAGGTGTCTCTTCTGAGGGCATTTTTGCACTCAAGAAGCTGAGTTCTTAAAACCCTGAACTGCACTGGTTGTGTATTGGTGGAGGCCTTTGATCTACCATGGCCTCTCGGTTTGGCTTAGACCACAGTGTGCTGATATTTCCTGTCAAAGAAGTGTTGTGTACTCACACCTTGACTGCTTGACACATCTATATCTAACTCTGGATATAAAATACACTGACTGTCAAATATATCGTTAATGGCCCCTCCTTCAAAAACCACCAAACACACTTTTATTGGCTAAACAGACTTTGACTGAAAGAATGGAAATGGAGAATTAACTCTTTGCAGATCATCAATCAGTTCTTTATTTGAAAGCACAGATTGGTTAACTCTCACCAACAAGCCATGCAAAAGTACAAAGCATTGTAATACTATATGATACAAGATCATGTCCAGCCACCTCCTTACTCTATCTGGTAGCACCATACAAGACATTTGGCTCCGGCTCTCTTCTTTTGGCTTTAGATCGAAATGTCACTGCTGCGTAGTTCAGTTCATCAGAGGCCTCAATCTGTGAAAGAGAGTATTTATAGTCATAATGTGATCACTTGAAATGAGTTTTATTCCCAGAAAAGAGCAACATATTCTGGATCTTATAAGTGATACTTCAGCCATTTGCTTTAAGCTTTGTATCTTTAGAAACCTGGTAGTATTTTTGAATGGTTGTGCATCCCGCACTCATTTTCCCCTGAGGTGGGAAATCTTTGTATTGCTAAGTCTGAAAAGGAGCTTCCGATGACGCAAAAATCATTATTTTGTGTCATTGGAAGCTGTTGCGGTTAGTGGGGTGAAACTACAACGCTAGTTCCTCATATTTTCGACCACTGAAGCTACAGACTTATCACAGATCAGTGGGTGGGAACTCACTCTCAGAATCGAAACTTAACGTCCGCCATATTGCTTGGAAGCTATGTTATGGAAAAAGCTGATATGGATGAAGGGGATTTTGAATGTCTTGTGCTTATTAGACCCAGAGAAATCCTTAGTTTTATAGCTGAAATGGGATGTGTCTTGAGATGCCATGGCAGACACATGTTTATTGTTTCCGTGGAAACACCGGATGTTATGTCAAAGCCCGCTGCGTGAATTGCTACTAAAAGCTGCCGATTGTTGCTGTATGTCCTGCTGTGATAGAATCCTAATGTAAATTATATTTGTCGCTAATCATATTCTTTTCCTCAGGCCAGTTTCGCCCGTTCATTTTCACTACAATAAACTCAGAATTAGTTTTTATCGGGATAGGGTTGTTGGGAGTAACAGGGACAATCACTCCCATGATTCCCTGCCAGCCTCAGCGCAATCTTTTGTAATTGGTTGTGCACAAGAGCCCCTTGGTGGCAGAAGTTACATATTGTGCCTTTAATGTATATGGACAGGAAGTATGTAAGTCTATCAATACACAAATATTTCAGGAACACATTAAATTAACACCAATGAATATCATGTCATTATTCTTCAATCACAAACTGTGTTGAAGTAAATTGAGTTGTATTTACCTCAGTGTGTCCTGGATTCTGTCTTTCTTCAGCAGCTGAGTGACAAAATAAAACATCTTGGTTAGAGGTTAGGGTTCATTGAACGTTGTCTTTGGTAAACTTGAAGACCATGAATGGACAGAAATTCAAAATAATTTACAAATGCAATAAAAAGTACATTATAAAACATACCTGTCTGAAGTTTCCTAATTTTAGCACCCAGACCGATGACAACCATGACAAGCAAAAGAGTCAAACCACCCAGGATCATGCTCACCAGAGTCGCTGCTCCATCACACTCTTCAACAAGAAAGATCATTGTGTCAGAATACTTTTTTTTTTTTGGAGACTTAAAACCTGACAAGATCAAACCAAATTCATTAAGCTTTTAAAGATATAAGAAGTCTGTGCATTATAGAAATGATAATAATAATCGTACTTGAAAGGTTACTGTCCGTTCTGTCCATGTCTTCATCTGCCTCGTTGCTTCCTATTAAACATATTTAAAGAAGCTTAGGTCTTTAGTTGCTGTTCCATTAGACTCTTCTACAGAGACAGATCATTTCTTCAGACTCTGTTTTCCTTTTGGAGACTTCAAATCCAGCTAGCTTTTTAACATGAAGGATTTAAAATGTCAGAAGTCTGTTGAATAAAGAAAACTTTTGGAGAATATTACTTGTAGAGTTGCTGTTCATGCTGTTATGAACGTCATTGCTGCCTATAAGAGAAGGATTTAATCTTAACTGATTTACATCAAAATATAAAAGACAATTTGATAATAGAAGATATTTTAAGATTTTTTTCTTTTCAACATAAGCTGAAAAAAATAATGTGATGATGGGATCCAAGAGAAGGAAAAAACTTAAAAATATCTTACCTTTGATCTTTAGATGTATCGTAGTAAGAAATGGATGTCCATCTTTGTTAAATCCACAGTAATAAATTCCAGACTTGTTTAAGTCCACTGAACGGACTTTGAGAAAGATGGTAGAGGTGTTGGACGACATAGTGAATGTATGATTACTGAATCCATCATGATAGCGCACTGTGCTGGTAGGATTGGTCATAGCAGAGACACACTGGATGTCGGCTCCTTTGACAACTTTCAGCCAATATCTGACTTTTAAATTTTCGTCCATGCCAGAGCACATCAGTGTGACATCTTCACCAGACTGGACCTCCACAGTCTGAGACTCAGAACTTGAGACAGAGATCCAACCTGGAACAAACAGATGAGTGACCGAGATATTAAGAGTCAGAACCTGAAGGTAAAACACTTCTCTTCACATGAGTTAACAAATATGAGATAAGTGGATAAGATGCATTTAATGCAGATGAATCAAACAATATTAAACATATCAATGAAGTCACAAATGATGAAACACTTACTGAGGCTGCAGAGAAGGAAAGCTTTTATCAGCGCTTGGTTCATCATTGTGCGTATGACTGTGGCTTTGAAGTGTCCGTAAGTTTGAAGAGAGCAGCAGAAAAGAGAACCATAGGGCAAAGAGGAGGGGCGTTTGATGTCACTTATCCTGTTCCTGTATGTGATGTCAAACATGCTGCAAGTAAAGTAAGTCAAGACACAAACATTGAGTTGTTTAAAATGTTTCAAAAGCGCTATTTTAAATATGTCTTCACACCGAAGTACAAACATGCAACACTCTATGTACAGATAGAGAAAGGTGTTTGACTTTAAATGAAATGTACTTATCAGGAAAACATATGAAGTATGTCTTTAATTAGTCAAACGTTCAAATGTGTTATAAGTACACCTTAATTGTCTGAACATTTTATAGTATTTTGTAAGGTTTCCTGATGGATATGTTGTGGTTTTATCTAGTCAAATTTGGTTATATTATTAAAATGTATATTCAATTATTTATAAATATAAATAACAATGTTATTAAACTATGTTTAATTGACTCGGGGGCACCACCCTGATACCAGGGAAAAATAACCAAATTATCACTAAAATCAGTCTGAAACTAGTTACTTAATTACTAATATTATTAATAATTACTGTATTCAATAAATTGGAGGCATGAAATCCGCACTCAAAGCCCTCACACCCAGCTTATATCACAATGCAAATACACCAGTAATCACAAACAATTGCTCTCTTAAATTACAACAGAATTTATTTAAACAAAGCACTATCAATCCAAAATCAATGAACTTAATCAAACAAATAACTATTATAAACTAATCTAAGCAAACAAACATTATCAAGCAAACAGGGTGGGGGTGTGCGTGTGTGTGTGCGTGCGTGCGCGTGTGTGTGTGTGTGTGACTGAGGCTGGTGACTCGCAGTCTCACTCGTTCACGTTCAGTCAGTGGTTCATTCGCTGAACGAACTGAGAGGAAGAGAGTGACTCGGAGGCGGAGCTCTCGTTCAATTCGTTCACTGAACGAACTGAGAGGAAGAGCGGAATTCTCGTTTAGTGAACGAACTGAACGTGTACTGAACAGAACGGTCGGGGAAAATAAATGTGATTGTTTTAAGCAGCTTTCAGTTTGCAAACTGTAGCTTTATCCAACTAAATAAAGCTTTTGACAAGATTATATTTTGGGTAAAATCAAAAGACAGTTTATTTCTTACTTTCTAGGCTTTGCTTGTTGTCCAGCTGCTGTGGGGTGCCCTTCTTGTCCAGAGTCACTGAAGCTCCTCCGAAAAATACTCAATAGGCAATGAACATAAAAGGGCATCAAATCATGAATTACAGATGGTGGCACAATATAGTGTAGTAGAAAATACGATCTGGATTCTGTATGTTGTGTTCCATTTTGAAATTTAAAAGGATGCTCTGTGCGTTTCCTTGACCGACTTCCTGTCCAGGTCAATCTTTTCGGTTCAGCCTTGTTTGCAGCTAGGTCTGTACAAAAACACTTGATTGATTAGATTGGAGTAGAGCGTAACACCGCTGCTGACAGCACTTGCTGTGGTAATAGGAGCACTGAGTACAGTGGCAGCAAACAGCGACTGACTGCGATCTGGAAGTCGCTGCCTTTAACCCTGAGTGTTATGGGGCTATTTTTTAAGTGTTTAATATAGCCCCATATGTGATATTAATTATAAGCAAATAGTCAGATTGTGTAAATCCCTGCTCCTCACCGCTCCCTCTCTCTCTCAGTCGCTCGACAACTCATGCTGCAAGTCACTCTGCCCGACCCTGATAACAGCAGGTGAGATGACAGAGCGCTGAGAAGGTGTTCTAACTATATGAGTTGTTGCATGTAATGTGGTAAAATATATAAATGGATGCTCATTTAGATCTATTAGTAATGTGGTTGGGTGTAGACAGGCTACATAAACTTAATTGAAGGGCTCAAATATATTTTTCGGCTCCAGAGGGATTTTTTTTTCTTCTTCACATCGCATGTCCTTGCGATGTGACTATTGCGCATGCGCTCATCACGATGACGATGCTGAAAGGATCTATCATGCAGCCCTACTTTGGATGCAAATGAACCACCCCCCTTAGTGCGGAGTTTGTGCAGCCAGATCCAAAATAATGAACTACAGCCTCTTCTCAGAAGCTTTTTGGGACACTTCAAAACATCCTGTAGACCGCAGGATAGTTTTGTTATGCCACACTGAATGCTAGTAACCTACACTTTCCTAATCCTGCCACCTTTTTAATGTTAGTACAGTCAATATTGAACATTTGCAATTAAAGCCACTTTGCTAGGTGTGATCCCCTCACACATATTTGTTGTAGCAGGTTGATTTTGTCCAGAGGTACAATTTATATCTGAATCAAGTTTTTACTCACATTTTACAGCTTTGCCTTACTAAAAAATACTGTGAATTAGATGCACCTTTATCCTTATTCTTTAATCTAAAAGGTTGGCTGCCTTTAATACACTGGTGCAACCACTATACAGACTTTACGGTAGTCTTAATTTATTGTTTTTGAATTATTCTATTACCTGAGTATTTACATTTTTAACCTTTGTTGAACGAACATGTTATGGAATAACAATAAAACACAGAAACCTTCAAAGTTACCTTATTCATGTTGGGTCAAGTGTCACAATATGGCTGCACATTTATTCTAACTAATCACATCCTGCAAAAAATAACATATTGTTGTGTAGTCTGCAATAATAATGTCAGAGTCTCTGTGTTGTTACCTCTAGAGGCTCTTTTTCGTCCGAACTGCCGCTTTGAGGTACTCTGTCTTTTGTCACCGATAACTCTTCTGGAAAACATTCATAAGCAAAGAAATCAGGCATATGGCCAGACAGCAATGTGCTACAGGTGGGGTCTAAAAACTCCAACTGCATATGCTGCGCTTACCTTCTGAGCTTTTCTCTTCCTCCTGATGTTGATTTGAGGTGTCCTTTTTCCCTCTGGCTACTGAGGCTCATTCTTAAACACTGGTGTTGACTCTGCTCTCAGATCACTGCAAGACAGATTTGAGACCTTTACTGAGGTGAAGGAGAATTTTGGTGTGCTGCTTGATTTCAGACAGCTTCAAGGGATGCCCAAAGACACCTTGCAGAAACACTGCACCAAGGTGGACTGTAGAGGGAGAGTCTGATATTGATGGTGCAGAGATGGCCCAGGAAATCATGAACCTCTCAGAACTGCCAACACAAACAACTGCTCTGGAGATGTTGTCATTTCTCCATGAAAATCATTTGCAAGAACTGTATCTAAATCTATGGATTGCCCTCTGCATTGCAGTAACTCTCCCTGTTACAGTTGCCTCTGCTGAGCGAAGCTTTTCAAAACTGAAGCTCATCAAAACATACCTCCGCTCATCAATGGCACAAGAACGCTTGAGTGGCCTGGCTATCATGAGCATCAACTCAGAAGTGGCACAGCAGCTGTCTTATGATGACCTCATTGATGACTTTGCATCCAGAAAATTCAGACTTGTGCATCTGTGAAAGGCTTGTTCCAAGGTAAAATGGTAAAATACTTTATTGATGCTACATCAAGATGTTAAAACTAAGTCATCAGAGCAAGCTTGGAAACCTGCTGGACTAATCCATTTAAGAGTTTAAAGATGATGGGTTATCTGACCTCTTTCTTCTGTTCAGGGGCAAAGCTTTCTGTCACATGAGTGGCTGCAAACAAATTGCAGAAAATAAACATGAATGTATGCAGTTTAATCTTTAATCAATTTGTTTCCTGAGGACAGATAGTTTAAGTATTAGTGATAACAATCAAAAGACTAGTTACAGAAAATGCCCCGAATGCGGACCCCATTTACTTTAAATATCATACAACTATGTAACTATTTATTGTTACGAGAATACAACTAAATGCAGTGTGTTAACCACTATTGACAGCATTGTGTCCACTGAAACTGACTCCACATGTTTTTTTCTTTTACATCTCCGACAGATATATTATGCTATGCTGTTATGAACATATTAGGTCCATTTAAAATTAAGAAGCTTTAAGATAATATTTACCCACAAAAAGGTATACATTTCTCACCTGTGCTTTGAGAGCAGCCACCTGTGAGCAGGGTACTTAGGACATCCTCCTGTAAGCACATGAGCCAAAGTTGGTCAAGCATCACTATACATTGAGTAGCCAATAGGAGGACACATCAAAGAGGCATTCTTGCATGATAGCTACTTTACTGGCTTTGTGTCTTATCGTGAGTCTTGTTAAATACAGACACAACATTTAGACTGTCCACGTTGTGCTTGTGCATGAACCTCTTTCACGCGTGCCAGGGAAAACCAGTTGATAAAAACAGAAATAAAAGATATGCACATAAAAACAACAGATAACTCCCATAGATAAAAAATAAAGACATTGGTCTTTTATAAGTCTTTACAATATTTTAGTTTCGCTAATGGAAGTTATTTTTTATGCAATATAACGTCCTTTCGTCTTTTCAGTATAAGCACAAATGTATTTCCTCCAGTAATTCGGCTTTAATTTGACCGAGTCAGTCTACTTGACTGTGCTACTTGGCAATGAAGCTTGAACAGGCTGAAGGCTAGTTAGCTGCCACTGCATGTAGCTGATTTCAGTTAGCTAAGTGTTAGCTGAAATTAGCTTCACATCTTCGTATAATTCTCCGTATTTCAACAAGGCTCATTTATGTTGTAAAATACAACACAGTATCACTATATTTTGAACATCGTAAAATGACTCAAAACTTACCATTAAATGTCAAAGATCCACCGCTAGAATCCACTATAAGCTCTCTGCTCGGTGCATCGTCTCCGGGCGTCTCACTGGTCTGACTGAGCTGAAGGTGTTGGAGCTGCAGCGGCGGAGATCAAACGGGAGCGC